AAACTTCACTCGAAGAACACATATGGTCCCAATTAAAAAAACCTGTTAAAACTCTTCATTTTTATGAATGTAATAGGTGTAGAGACTTCACTCGAAAATGAACAAGACTTAGTATTTGAAAGATGACAAAATAAGCTCCCTATGGGGTTTTTTTCCTCTCTTCTAGGAAATTTGTCTTTGTAACAGATACCTACAGACTGCTATACCGTGATCAGTATTAGTCATCAAATCCCAATACATTAGAAACTAGTAACTCTCAATCACAGTAACAGATGCAGCTTTTTTGCATTTAACTGATTTACGTGGGTGCAGTGAAAGGATATAAACATGCTTTTACCACATTTTGATGTTAAAAAAGGTAATGCTCAAAACCACCACATTTGCTGTACAATCCCAAATAAAATATTTTGGAGTAAAATATATTAAGATGGTAAAAATTCCAACAAGAATTCTGACACCAGAAAAATACAGAAAAATACAAAAACATTTCAACTAAAAGAATTGTAAACACAGTTCAGTATGGAAAATAGCAGTTAGAGTACAAACCAAAACACTCAGTAACCACGTGCTTACGATTAAAGGGACCTCTGTGAACTTTAAAGGCATCTTACGTAACTTTTTCACAAATGGCAACAACTATAAGACATGGATACAGAGATTATAGTGCTCTAAATGGCCATTTCAATTGCTCAGCATGGTTGGATTTCAAATAAAATTCTTTTGAGAAAGAAGGCAAATCTCTCCAAAGACTACCTAGAAAATCTAAGGACTCTGAGATAGTCTGCACAGGGAAGGCTGTGAGCAGTAAGTACAAAGTGTGAATTTGCAAAGCTAACTACTACCTGACAGGCTCCCTGTTAGCACATGTAAGCATGAGCTCACCCTACCTTTGAAGGAGAATGAATTACTTTCGAAAAGCTTTGTCTGAACTGTGTCTAGTGGAGTTTGCTCCACTTTCAATGGAATAAACTATCTTATGCTTAATGTGTATTAAGACTGACAACATGATGCATTAATACTGGACAGTTACATACCGTAAACAGAGCTTACGGTTAACTAGCTTTCCCGTGTAGATAAAGTTGCAGCATGTAACAACATAAAGCTGTCTATTTCCGAGGAGACGTGACTGAATGTCTCAAACTCGTCTATGTAACTAACACATCATACTTCTGCCTGCCAGCACGTTCATACTCCATAGGCACTCCAAAGTACCTATATACTCCAAAGCTTCATAAAGGAACCTTTATCCTTCTAAGTAAAGACAAAATTGAAGTATTGCTGCCAGCTTTAATGGAAAATTAAGCCAGTCACTGAAATACTTCTCCATTTTCATCACATATATTTTAAGTATCAGCACTTGCAACATTGTCCATGAAAAACTCCTACAATACTTTAACATGCCTAAGGATCGATCTCTGGTGATAAAATTTGTTCAGAGATGACACAGCACAGTGCAATAATAAGAGCAACACTATATGCAGGGCTCTGCTATTGTGCAGGATGTCTAAATATAGGGCTTGTAAGTGGTGTAGGGGGAGGAAAGTCTCAGAAGGTTGCAGAATAATCACTAAGTCTTAGAAAAAAGATTTATTACTACTGTGGCAAAATACATCTTTCCTTGATGCAGGGGAGTCTATGAAATTATTCTTTTTGTTGTTAGAGCCTGTATCTAATGAAAGAGTTGGATTTGAAAGAGACTGAAAATGTGCTTGCTGGATATAACCATCAAATCCCAGCACTCTGACTTCTGCTGGAGGTTCCTGCCCTCTGACAACTACACCAGTGTCACCAATAACCCAAACTATGCAACCCTCACAGATGCATTTCCATTTCTTTTTCTTTGGAAAGAGGGGGGAGTTTACCTGCCATTTTTGGTGATTTAACAACACTGAGATAAGAAATAAATAGCTAAGAAGCCTATAGAAACATCAAGGCTTGGAGCCTGGTGTTTCTGCTACACCGCTTTTTAGTAAGACAGACCTAGGAACCACCAGAAGTGTTAAGCTGACTACGTGGATATAAAATGAGCCTAATCGTTCTAGTGTCAACATGCCTGTCAAGAAGACAGGACTTATGCGTCAGAGATTAACGTTCGCAGATTTAGCTGCAGCAGTTTAAGATATTGTTGCCCTCAGGCCACCATCCTCCTCTGCCAGAGGCCACTGGCTATTGCACAGGTGGCTAAATTTGTTGCATTTCTATACCACTATATCTATACCATTGTAGCTTACAGTGTAACATTCTTTGCCAGAAGCCACTGCTAAGAAGCATCATCTGAAACCTCTATAACCTACTCTTCCACACTCCGTGCCATCCTGTATTACTAGCAATGAAGACACCAGGGAAAACGCTGTGCAATTTGCACAATCACACTGCAATCATTGACAGGTTTCCTAGTGGCTGGCCTCACTTTTTGCCTTAACCCACTATGCATCTGACCGAAAATGATTCAAGCTTACTGACTAAAGACAAAAAATGACAGTAACATACCTGCTAATCA